ATGCCAGGGCAAGGACTAAGCCATGCTGCTCCAGAGGAATTCATCACTGGTGACCTGCATCCAGCAGTCAGGATTGGAGCCACAGCCATGGGAGAGACCCCCTCCCCATGAGCCTGTGTGTGCTATTTGCCACCTCTCAGTGTTTCCCTCAGGAGCTGCAGCCTGGCTAGAACAGAGAAGAGGGTTAATCCTTCCATCTCTACACGAGTTTAATTGGAAGGGAATTGTCTTTGACTTAATTTCCTCTCTTGTCTCCACTCAAGCCTAGTGGATCAAAAGAAAAGCAAATTGAAAGATAATGTTTTGGATGTGCCTGATTTTAAAGTTGAACATGAATAATCTTTCATGCCTCTGACTCAACGTCTGTATCATTTTTGTCATTAAAGTCTTGAAACAATGAGCACTTCTTGTGTGACAAAAAGAATTTACTTTTCATCAAGAGTGGAAACCTGAGTGATGCTCTCACAGTACTAGAGCACAGCTACTAATTACCTCATGTTATCAAACTTGACATTATCCTTTAGATTAAAATACCATATGTTTTATTTAATAATGAGAGGGCAAAGACTCAGTTACTGCAAAGTATTAAGCTACTGCATGTCATGTGGCACCATATAGCAGGGCTTATTCACACAGAAATTCAATTGGCTGATTATTAGATTATTGGTTAATGCAATTTAATATAAAACCCTTCTCTTTTTTCTTTCGTCTTCCTTTCTTTCATTGTTATTATGAATTATAGCACTAGGAAAGTTTTTTTTCAAATGGTTAGCTTAAGTTTACTTTCCAACATATCTTTATTTGTGAAGAAATGAATTCAGAGATTCTGTTTTCTTTTTAGTGTTTGTGAAAATGAAGGATAGTTGTGCCTGCACTACAAGAAGGGTGATTTAGGTAAATGTCTCTGAGGCAGCTTGAGTCAATTTAGCTTAGACTTGCCCTGAAATTCTCTATTGCTTTGCTGCAAACCTTCCCAAGAGAAAAGATTTTCTCTTGCTGAGCTGTATTGGAGAAGAAGGCAGTTTTGTTGGTGTCCTACATAATGGCTGACAAAAAGGGTAGAGAAAAATGCTACATTGAACCACATCAATGGGTAGGAGAAAAGATTTACTCACTTTTTCTCCACATGTTCAGTCTTGGGGTGATGGATGTCAGTTGTCTTCTCTAAAATTCACATCATACTTACCCAAGAAATCTACAAGGATTTTTTTCATTGTTGCTTTTCCAAGAATTACTCATTTTCAAAACACATGTGAGAGATTTTTCCACAACTTCTTGAGTGCAGATACTATAGCCCTACATTTTGGGTGACACATTGGTAGAATAAATGCCCAGGTCTGCATTCAGCCCTATCTTGGGAAGGGCCAAATATAAATATATAGATGGGAAAAAAAACAAAAAAACTTGCCTTCTTCTCTGCCATGTAGACCATACTGTCCCGAGAATGTGCTCCAGATCTGCTCCTGGAACATAAGGGAAGGCAAAGTCCTGAGACAAAACAAAGGGAGAAGATGCAAGGGTAAATGCTGTTTTTCCATTACAATGGCACTTATTCATAGACTGGGAGAAATAAGTTGTGCCTGCTTTTGGAACAGAGCCATTCCTTTGCTCATGCAGAGACATCTCTCAAGCCAGCTGTGCTGCCTCTTGAGTTCCTTGTTATCAACTCTTACAAGTATGGGGGAAAGCAACAAAATCATGACAATGATAAATGCTGCTTCTTTACACACTCACACGGTGCCAGCCTGGTTTGTGGTCCAAAAGCCCCACTGTGGTCTGGCTCTGAGTAAACAGAGTTATTAGCAGTCATGGGAGGCTGCGAGGTTGGAGGTTCGAGCTGACCAGTTTTTACAGAAAAACAACAGATTCCTCCTCTTCTGTTTTTGTTTTTGTTTTTTTTTTTCCTAGGCTCCTTTTATTGCTAAATCTTTCACACTCTGGAGAAGAGCACTGCTGTTGTCTGGTGGCTAAAATCAAAATCACATAAAGGGGGAAGAGAAAGGAGAGTAAAACAAAGCTGTCTCTCACCACTCGCTCGTTAGCAAATGCAGCAAGGATCCCATAGGCACACCAGGTAGTGCCCCTGGGCTGGCATGGTGCCCATCTGTGCCATCTGCTGAGTATCAAACCTTCCTCTGCTTCCCATCAGACAGAGCCTGCTGCAGCCAGGAGCTGCTTTTCCTGCTGAAATCGCTGCGGCACACAGCCAGCCCAGGTTAGCAGTTCCATAGCTTTTGCTGCAAAAAGAAGGGGAAGGCAGGGAGGAGTGTGCATTGCACCTTTGTATTTTCACAGTTATAATCTCTGTCATGGTATTTTTGAGTGTAATAGGCCATTTCTCTAGCTATTTACTACAGGTTAAGTGTCCTGCTTCCCATATCCTCTGTCACTGAAATGGCTCTTTTTGTTTACTGAGTGCAACTTTAGGTGCAGGTTAGTAAAACAACTAGAGTAGAGTTCATTGGTGTGATTACTGGGTTGAAGGGGACCAAAAAATGAAAATATGTTGTGTATATTATGAGAGGCAGGACTCAAGATGACAGATTGTCATATAAAAGTGGGAACGAAATAGGAAATTGAGACTCCAAAGAAAGGCAGTGGTAAAAAGCTCGGTATTTTACTCCATGTCAGATGATTTCTCTTCTGTCTAAACTGGCATGTTTCCTAGACAATATTGTTTAAGGAAATTCTGGCCCATCAGAATATTTTCCTTCTGCTGTACATCATCTGCCTGGCGTTTTGCTCTGATCAGAAAGGTAGAGTATGAGAACAGAGGGAAGCTTGAAGGAAGAAAAATTCCATGCCTCTAAACAACAATGCAGCAACTCCAAGCAAAGTCATAGAAGTGTAAGAGAAATTCACTAATAACTTAAGCATTGACATTTTCAGTGAGAGAAAATACATCCCAACTATCATAATTTTTCTCAGGTTTTACAAGGCCACATCATTGGTACTTCAAATCAATAAGAATGTTAAGACCTTTGTCTGAGATTACAGTAAAGCCATCTAATTTCCACAGTGCAAGGAACTCCCAACAAATTTTCTAAAATCCCTAAGTCTAGAAGTCTTGCATATGAACACAATCGTGTTGTTCTAGTCTTAAAAATTGAAAATATAAGATTGTATAAAATGTTTTGAAATGTCATAGGACTGTCCTCTTGGATCAGGTTCTGCTAAAAAAGCCTGTTAGGGTTAGAAGATAAGGTTTTAGTTCAAGTCCTGCTGGTCTGTGTTAAAGAATAGTTTGATTTTAAGGCCCTTCCATCTAAAAACACAACCACAGAAGAATTTAATTTCCAGTCTCATAAGCCTTGGTTCTTTGGAGAACTCTCACCTCGGGCATTTTACCTTTTGGTGTTTTTTTCTGCTTGCAAAGTTGGGAATCTTGGAGACACATCAAAATGAAAAGCAGGAAGGGCAAAAGAGGTGTTTTGCCAGGAATAGTGCAAGTTTTACATTATGTTACTTTTAGACTGCTTTTCTTTTTTTGAATGGGCTCCCTATACTTCAGAGCACTTGCAAGAATAGCTCATGCATTGATATGTGATGTTGGGTTTGAAGTGTTAGGCATACATTCTAATAAATAGTGTGATATTTAAAGAGGATGAACACCGAGTGACAGCTAGTGAGTTATTAACTTTCATTTTGCTCATTTTGCCATCTGTCTTTCTTGCTAAGCTTCTCATGTTCTCAAATGCAGATCCAATAGTTTAGCTGATTTTGTACTGAAGCAGCTCTGGTGGACCAAAACCAAAGCTTTCAAGGCAGACTTGCCAAATTTGCTAATGCTGATCTGGAAGTCTGATACCCAGGTGTTTTAAAGAATGAAAATGCTAGAAAGTGAGTATCTCATTGACAGTTTTGAGTCCTTTTCAAAACCTAATGTTCATATTGCTACCTCTCCCTGAGATCTTTTAAAAACTACAATTCTAAATGTGTATGCTGAGCATTTAAAAATTAGTTCTTGGGTTCTTTTTGGAAACAACTCTGCAGCTCTTTTGAAGACAGCTAAGGTAATTACTGCATCTCCTGATTTCTACTGGCATGGTGCAGATAGAAAAAAAAAGCCATCAGTGCCTTGAATCAACATTTAATTGTGTTTGACTAAAGTACATATTTGCTGGAAGCATGCACTCCAAAAACCATGCAAATGTAATTTAAAAAACGTTGAAATGAATTGGCTTGAGCTTTTTACTTTTGCTAAAATACAAGTCAGTGGTTTTACATTTTAAAAACCTCATTTCTCTTTCAAAAGATTTTTTTTTGAGACTGTAACCAAAGCCAAAGAATAGCTGTACCACACAAACACAGGAAAGAAACTCTTGTCTTTTCCCCCAAAATATATGGAAAGATCATAATTTCTGATCTTGCTACAGCTGATTTACTACAGTTTTAACTTGGCAAACTAAAGTCATATGTCAGAGATTTATATTGCTTTACTTTTACCAAAACTCTTTCTCTTATGTAGCTTGGTATCAGCTAAAGTTGGGTTCACCGTTTTTTCCAGAGCAGGGTGACAGGATCAGAATCCCTTTGACTTTGCCATGGTAGCTGCTGCTTGGGCTGGACACCCAGCTGAGAAAACAGCCCCAGGAAAGGGTGCTCAGAGTAGTTTCCTGCAGCTGAAGAGAGCACCTACACCAACCCCAGGACTTGCCTGTGGGTCACCACACTGATTTTGGAGGAGATTTTTAAGAAATTATGGGACTTCAGAGTCCAAGGATTACATCATGTTGAAGTCAGGTATTGCAGTTACTGTGGAGAGGCACAGCATTTGGTCTGGGCTAACTGGAAATAGTTCACTCATTTTCTGAGGAAAATGTCACTTCAGCCTGAATTAAAGCATCCAGTTCAATGTCCACCAAGTGTTTCAGGTTGCTAATTTGGGGATTGCTTCTTTAGATTTTGCCCTTTTCACATGCCACATCCAGACATTTCTTTTTGAACCCACTGGCATGCAGTGCTCCATCATGTCTGATTTTTTCCTTTCTCTTTCCTAGGCAAAACTGCTTATTAAACAACCAGAATTTGCAGTTTCCATCTGCCCCAAGCTGGACTTCGGGCTAGAGGTGTAGCTGCAGGCTGCTGATCTCCTAAGAAGCACAGGATTTGGGGTCTGTCTGTGCCACAGTACCAAGAGGTTGTTTATCTCTTTCTGGTAAGTAGATGCAATGTGGACACAGGTGTAGCTTTTATGTAACCCTCCTTTAGGGGAACATCTCAGGTTCCCCTCCAAACGCTCCCTTAAGGCTATGTGTTGGGTGAGCACATCCCATAACTATCCTGGTCAGTGCTGGAAATGTTCATACAGTAAAATCCACTCAGGGTTTTACTAGTTTTGATGGATAAGGTAGATAGCATTGAGTGGAGAGCATGTGAGCATGCAGCCTGAGCAGAGTTGTGTGGGAGCACTTGGGCTGACCTGTTCTAACTTCAAAGCTGTGCATGGAATTAAATGCAGCAGGGAGAACTGCAGGGCTCCTTTTCCTGAATGACAGAATTCCCTCTTGACAGACACAAGGAAGCTGGAATTGCTGATACACTGATACAACATCGTTTCTAACATTTAAACAGCAGTTTAATTTTTCTAAATTAAACGTCTAAATTAAACGTCTCTAAAATTTCTGGGGGAAAAGCAAAGTAAACCTTCAGAAAACTGCAGATAGAAAGCTTTACTTATGTAAAATGGAAACATGCTGCGAATCATTGGAGAAAACATATATTTTCTTGCCAATTATAACAATATTAGGTAGCAGTGAAGGTTTCCAAGGCAACCTGGCCACGGGTACATTCATGTGGAGTGTGTGTGACTACCTGCTTTGTCAAGCCAATGGATGCATGTCAGAAGGTTGTGTGTGGGGGGAGCACAGATCATTTCATCAATCTACACTGCAAAAACTATTTAAAAGCAGAGAGTTTGAGTTTTGGGGTTTTCTTAAGTTGTATGTCTGATTGTGCCGAGCATTTCACAGCTTTTCTAGAATAGGCAAGACATAGGAATAGGCAAATATGTGGAAGCCAGGCTGAAGACACCTGACTGGTGGGGTGTCCAGAGGGGTGTTGGAAGGGGCCTTCTGGGCACTAGTTAGTGTGAAGTCTGTTCATACATTCTCCATGGATGTAAACAAATGTACAGCATCTTCCCTCAAAAAACTCCCTTCTTCCTTTTGCCTGAACTAGCACCAGCCTGTATTTCCCAAGGTGTTAAACTAAAGGAGTTCTTCCAACACCTCATGTTTCTTGCCTTCAATTGCTTGATATCATCTTCTTTTTGTCTGCCCCTCATTCCTCTCCAACTCATCTTTATTTGGTGTATTGAAGATTTCCTGGCCTCTCCAGCTGTCCTGTGAACCACGGAGAGCAAAACACAGTGTGGTCCTCCCATAAGTTTTCTTCAGGCCATCACTCTTGTTGCCTCTGAAGAGCCATTGCTATTATTGTGTGAGGACCCTGCTGTCAGTCTCCAGGGAATTCACTGCCTTGCCTTTGACCTTTTAAAAACTTCCAAGAACTGCAGTTTAGGTTTATTTAGGAAAAAAAACACATGAGATCTGCCCAGTACTTGATACAGCTGTCAGGAAAATAAAAAACAGCCCCATAGCCACCCAAGGGAACTGAGAAAGGAATGTGGGTCATGTTCATCAGCCTTGACTGCTTTCCAGATTGCTAAGGCAGCTGTGACACAGCCATGATGTAAAGTCCATCCCTCACTTTAGCCAGTCAGGTAAACTGAGCCTGCAGGTCAGAGCTGACATCACTGAGAGCAAGGGAGATTACTGGGGGATGCAGCTGTAGCCTGATATTTGCCTGAAAATTTCCACTGCTCTTCAGTATCAGTCCTCTTTCCAAATTAGTTTTGCTTCAGGAAAAGTTTGAAAGGATTCCCAACTACCTTTCTCTAAACCAAAACTGTTGTGGTATTGAGTTCACTGTAACTTTAAAGCTTCCCCTGGGAATTAAAAGGTCATGTGAGGTGTTCAATGAGCAGTTACTCATTGAAAAATGCCTGTGTGTGATACCTGCTGGCTCTGGCATGAGGGCTCCTGCTACACTGAAACTCTGCTAATGTGCACAGCCACGTTCCTTCCTCAGTGCTGCTTTGAGTAGCCAGGGCAGCTGCTGTGTGCAGCGAATGGCAATCATGCCCTGAGCACCCAGAAGTAAGCTTGAGTGAGAAATTAAGATGCTGGGAATTTGTGCTTAAATTATTTCACCTAACTGCTGCCTTTTACCCTGGGTTACAAAATATCCTCTGTGCATGGAGATGTGGCTGCTTACACACATCTAACTCAGCTCAAGAGCTCATACTTCTGTGCAGTGAGAACCCACCCAGCTAACCAAGCTAGGAAAATGTGCCCATCTGCCTTCCCAGTTTTCCTCTGCACTGGCTGTCCTGAAATTGCAGGCATAAGCCTGTTTTTTCTTTGCTCATGGGCAAGCGGAGATAAAACTTGAAAAGAGCCAACCCAGATTGTGTCCCTTCAGTACCTAAAAGGGGCCTGCAAGAAAGATGGAGAAGGACCTTCTACCATGGCATGTTGTGGTAAGACAAGGAGAAATGGCTTTAAGCTGACAGAGGATGGGTTAGATTGGAAATTAGGAAGAAGTTTGTTACTGTGGGGGTGGTAAGGCACTGGAAGAGGTGTCTCAGAGAATCAGTGGGTGCCCCATCCCTGGACATTGATGGAAGGCATCTAAACGTGGCAGTTCATTTTAAGCACTAAATATGTTATTGAATACTTTGGCCCAAGTGTTTCAGGTACTCCTAACACATAAGTCTTGTGTTTAAGCTTCTCAGCCCCCTTAGGGTTCCACATTGTTTGGAATTTTGGGTTCCAGAGAATGGTGCATCAAGCTGTTGCTTCTGGAGGCAAAATCAAACACCAGATTTAATTGCCTTTCCTTTTTACAGTATGGGACACTTGACAGAGCTACAGAAATCCCATCTGAAAAATGATAGCTGTTGATTTTCTGCTTGCTGAGAATTATTAGTATTTTTTCTATACTGCAAAACCAGCCTTTAAATCAGCAAGATGCCTTGGCATTAGAACCATTTGGAATGTAAAAAAATACTGCTTCTTCTGGTTGAGCTGCAAATGTTCAGTTGCAAAGTTAGGGGAAAATCTAAAAGTACGAATAATGATCTTAATTTGAAAGACATTTCACAAGTAAACATACTACAATAGTAACTATAAATCAGATAATTGCTGTACATTTTAAAACCCAGGAGTATAAAATTAAAAACAATAAAACTAAATTTAAATCCAAACAAATAAGAAGGGAATTCTAAGTAGAAGGTTCGTATTATCGATTTTTTTTGTAATGGACCATTTCTTTATCTCTAAAACCTCAAATATCACATAGTGGTCTCTAATAATCTATGTTATAATATTTAAATGAGCATATACTTTAACATAAAGTGGTTTTCAGTCAGTTTTTCTATTACTGTATAAGAAATGTATCCATGAAACATAAAAAGGTCAACTACTTCAATGAAATAACTTTTAAAAATAATACAGTTTTACAGCCATACATAACTATACGTATTTTATTATGTCAAAGAAAATGAAAGAATATAGCTCTGTGTTAAACTGCAAGTCTTTCAAGGAGGATACATTAGCTTTAAACTGGGATATATGACCACTGAAATACATTATTTCTGCTTTGGACTTTACATTTCCAAGTGAAAGGTTTTTCTTCCTCCTACTTCCCATCTCTTTTCTCCACTCATAAGAGTTTATCAAAGTACTAATATGTCTTGTCATTATGTATTTTATTATTAACTAATTAGACACTGGGGGCTTCCCTGCATTGTGTCCCAGTGGCCCAGCTCTGCCACGCCAGGACAGCCCAGCTGTTCTGACCATGCTTTGGGAGGGTGCTGGGATGGGGAGCAAAGCTGAGGTGCAGCCACAGTGCAGAGTCTGGAAATATCCTCAGCCAAGGTGCGACTTTGACTGAGGGGAACATGCAGAGAGAGTGCCTAGGTTGGTGGATGTGAAACATTCATCAGAACTCCCTGAGAAGGCAGAAAGAAAGAGAGAAGAGACCAGAAAATATACTTTGCATATATATATATATTTGGCCCTCCTGTCTGCCTGTGAGAAAGTATGGCTTGGTCTGAGCCGATCCTCAGAGAAATTCCAAATCCCTGGATGGGTTTTGTAACTTCTGACAAGTCTAAAGCGGCCCAGACATCTCTGCTGAGCTGCCAGCTTGCTCCTCATGTGTAGGCTGCCAGCATGTCCCCCGTGACTGTGGGATCCCAGGAATACAGGTTCCCAAAGCATCCACTGTTCCACTGTTAATTAATATTTCTAGGCCAGACCCAACCTAAGTTTTATGCAACTAATTAAAAGGGTAAGCTTATTTCCAAGGAGCAACTGTTCAGGGTTGGGAGGAAGAAGAAAGGTAAAAAGCATTCCCATTCCCTACACATCCTTCCTCTGAAGAAATCAATATGTTTAATTAGAGTGGTTAGGAATTAACTATGAAAGTGGCAAAGTTAGTATCAGATAAATTAGGGAAATATTGGGACAGCAGATATATTTGTGACATTTTTAACAGAAATCTGATGTAGGTAATTGCCAGTGGTGCTTGTTACGAAGGGGAGGAGTGTGTGTAGCAGGGCCTCGCAGCAGTGGAAGGAAAGTGTTATAATCCATCCATTTCACACACTGTAACTGCAGACTCCATAAGTAATTGGAGGGCAGTGTGGTATAACACCCACGCCACCCTGCTTGAAAATACTGGTGTTCTCTTCCTGATTAGCCCTGAAGTCAATGGGTAACATACAGGTTTAGTATAATGCAGTATGATATAATCCTCCTGTGTGCAAGTCATTGCACTTTACAAGTACACTTCTCTTCTTTCTAGTACAGAGAGGAATCCACTCAAAATAAGCCACATCTCTTCCATTTCCTCTTGCAGCTGTGCTGGACTGTGCATCTTAAAAATTTCAAATAGATATTTTTACGAAGATCCTCTCTGAAATGATGGGCACAATTCTAAGTTGTGGAGGTTCTACAGTAGGGATCATTTATAACTGCAGCTATTGCCTTCCTGGAGAAAGAATTTTAATTGTTAATTATTTGTGGTGGTACTCTTCATACTTTTGAAGTTATGCATATTCTTAAGAGACTTTGCTCAGTTTGAGTC